CATCTTGGTAGAATTTCTAATGAGCTGTATGTAAACAAGTATATTTAAAAATTGTGACAGAAAATCTTTTCATGTTACCCCAACATTTAGCAGTTTTAAGTACATGGATATATTTCATATCGCAGTAAGCAGAAATTAGCCCATCATCCATTATCCAGGTTATTCTTATCAGTTTCTGAGGTATGCAGTTAATTCTTTACAGATGTTTAAAGCTCTCTGTAAATGATTTGGGAAAGCACTGAGCAGGGAATTTGCACCTTTCTGGTTGTCTCACATCCTGAAATTGAATGCATAAGTGAATTTACGGAAAACTGTCTGAAGTAAGAACACTGCAGGCAGTAACAGCAGTAGTGAGTAGACATCTAAGACTGGCATGAGGCTGCGGTTGCTGTGGCAACTGCATTGTAAGTGCTCTCTGCATTTGGGGCAGCGGTATTTTTTTTTTTCCTAGAGGCTCCTTTAAAACTCCCTCTGTAGCTCCCTTTCTGGACAGTTCACCTTCTTTCAGATGGATCTAGATGACAGAAAATAGTATCCGAGAGAAGTACAATTTGAAAACAGGAAGCTGTATGCAGGAGCTTCCTGAAATTAGTCTATGAAAATTGGGAAGGTTCCCTCAATCCATGAATCATCAAGAGGATTACAGATCAGACATGCTGAGGTTCTGACTCAGAACTAAAGCTTTTGGGAACATGGCTGAAGAACTGAACATCTTCAAATAAAATACAATGCAGAAAAGTTGCTGAGCAAAAAGTTGGAGCACACATAAATCTTGATTGCTTAAAATTTGTCCCAGCTTTTGTTACCATGTGAGATGAATATACAGAACCTAGGAAACCCTGTTTTGCTTTCTGAAACAGTGACTATCTTCTAACTGAGAGTGAATGTGCAGCACAGTTTATCATATACAAGGAGTGGCAATCTAACGCTCCCATCTTTATATGTGTCTGCCCCACCCACATTCAGGTACTATTACTTCTCAAGAAATACTTTGCAACTGACTTGTGGATAGTTATGCAAATACTAGCTAGGTCTTGTGATAATTGGTCCAGATTTTAAATCTGTAGATTTAAAATTTTAAATCAGAGAGATTAACTGGGGACAACATGCTATCTCTGCTATGTTCTTTGTAAGTAATGGTAGAAAACTACCAACAAAATTGATGTTTTGAGCCTCTCAGAGATTGCCTCTCCCTAGAGCGACTAGTATTTTTATATCACCAAGCTATCCTTTTAATAGAAATATTATCCATAATTTAGAAAGAGTGCACAACATAAACCTTGTAGTTCTGCATTTGTAGACTGACTCAGGATGTATAGTGACAGAGAAACGCACCAAGACTTGTCTTAGTGAAGACTGCACAGAAAGCCTTGCTGAGGATTTGTGTATCTTTGATAATTTGAGAATTTTTATTTTGCTTTACATTCTTATAGACAAAGTGAATCAAAATATTTCAAAAAATAAAATATAAATGTAAAGTCTCAAAAATCTCTAAAATAGAATGCTGTAATTTTCACAGAATACTCTTTGACATAAACTTTTGGGAAATGCCAAGTCCTTCTCAGATTTCCATTCAAAGTGTGGCAATTACTGACATTAAAAAATATATATAATCTGATCTTGGGACACTTGCACAGTGTGGACCTCAATTTTAAGAATTATTCTGAGTGTTCAGCATAGGTACAAAATAAATTTCCATCAAGGTGAGCAACTTATTAATTTGAAGGTTAATTTTCAAAATGTGACTGTAAAGATGACTCTTTTCTTAATAGAAGTCATATTAAATTGATATTTCTTATACTGGTGTTTATATGAAACTTCCTGAAGATATGGTTAAGTAAAAATTGTGGTTATAAACTCAATCGTGACATCTTGTTGTGCACTGACCTAGCTCTTTGTTAGTCCTATTTTTTCATACAATTAAACCACTCATTATATCTCATTTTCAAACTGTCTCCAATAATAAGAGAACAGTCAGGGCATGGATACGATGTCCTTATTTTTCATATTAAAAGTAGTAGACACTGACTAATGTGTAGTGCGTAAGAAGAAGAGATGCTATTTGATGTTGGAACTCAGAATCCACAAGGCTTGCTGTACACTGGCGCGCCAGGAGGCGCCCAAGGCTTCTTTCCTGCCCCCTGTTCTGCATGCAGTTGGAAGCCCAGCTCCCTCTTTGAGCAAGGACTTCCACCACCTGGTCATCGCCAAAACAGGTTATCTGGAAGTCATGGATGGTTTCTCTCCATCTGGAATGAGAAACGATCCTTCCACAAAAGGTGAGGAAACCTCATGAAGATTTCCTGCTGAATGAGCAGCTGCACGGACAGATACAGAAAGTGTTTGGGCAAGAACTACTCAATTATTCTTTGAGTCTGAGTCAGGGAAATTTGATTTGTTAGTACGCATGCCTGGCAACATCATCCTACAGATCTCTTTTCTTAATTTGGATGACATTGGGCAGCTATCAGAAACCTGCAAAAAATTCCAGAGGATGTGTAACAGTGAAGAATTCTGGGAGAAATTTAGAACTTTATACGTTAAAAATACTTTTGATACCAAGAAAATAGGGATAACCATTTACAAGAAGCTGCTAGCTTTTCATCAAAATGCAGCCCAACAGACGATCACACAGGAAGACAGACGGCATTTTTCTAAATTTAACTGGAGTGACAAAATTTTAAAAAAATAAGGATTTAAATCGAACTTTCATGTAACAGTTAGTACCATTAGAGCTTGCCTGTAGCCAAGACTGGGTTGAAGTAATTATCTGGTGGATTTAAGTTGGATGATTTGTTTAAAAAATAAACTTATTTTCTCTCAAAAAACAAATCTACAAGGCAAGTTGCCATTGTTCTGGGGAGAGTGACAGCTTGAATGTAGTACATAAACAACTCATGTTTTGAGAGCTAAAATTATTATAACAAATGGTTTTCCTTTTGTCAACATTTTTTCCTTGTCACTTTGCCAAGGCGCAGCCTATAGCCTTGCTTAAACACTTCCACTAGCAGAGGGAAGAGCAAATGCAAATACCCGGGGGCCTGGGGCCTGGGGCGCAGCCCAAAGCATCCCATTCACAGAGGGAGTTTTCTTTTAGTCTCGTTTTTTCTTAATCCTTATGAATATTTTATCGTCTACTCATTGTCCTTGCTTAAATATATACATCATGGCCACATTTATTAAACATTAAATCACTTCCATTTCCCCCAAATTAGTTGAGTAAATTTATTGTGCCCAGATGGTCACTGAGAACCACCTTCCCACTTCTGAGTGAAAAAAAACTGCCTCTTTTCTTTTCTATATCCCCAATATCTAGCAGGGTACTGTGCAAATGTGTGCTTGTGTTGAATGTATGCCTATGTACCCTATTAGAATGTGTGCATGATGCTCAATAAATATTTTATATTAGATGATTGAATGATAGTATGTTTGCATGAGGAGCATTCATTAATATTCCTGGAAAAGCCTCTGCGTGGAAAAAAATATATATGTGTATAGAGTTCATAACTTCTAATTTGATTTACTGAGATGTCTGGACCATATGTGTGTAAGAGTAGTTTCTCTTTGAATATAATGCTCTCTGTGGTCAGCATCAGAGTTTTCTGATCTTCTGAAGTCTTCCTATGGCTGGAGTATTTAGACATTCTATTTGGTTCCTTTTGGGGGGCATATTTTCATGGTTATTTTATTATACCTTCTCTTATCTTTGATATTCCCTCATTATCTCATATTTCTTTAAATTTGATGAGCATATTTATTTCATGATAATTGTGCTTATATCTGATTCTGTAACTTGCTTCTTCCTGCATATGAGCACATAGTGGTAGATTGTTCCTTGCATATTGTGATTTTTAATTTTGAATCCATGTACCTGGAATTTTATCTGTGCAATTTCTTTAAGGTCTCATTTTAAAGTGCATTCTTCCAGAGAGGTTTTGTGTTCACTTGTCTGGTGCCTGGGAAAATTTTAAATTACATTTTGGGTTTCTCTGAGCCACATAGACAGCGTGATTTCTGGCTCTAGTTCTGTGTAAATTCAGGCTACTGGTTGGAATTTGCCCTTCCCTCTCAACTCCCCAAGTTGTCCGGATTCAAATGCTAAAATCTAGACAAGTTTCTCCACTATCTCGCTTGATTGATTTTTCTTTTTCTCTTTATACCCATGAAGATATCACTATTTCGGGCTTTCCAAATTCATAAGGATCTTTGACCTAAACCAACTCATGGTGGCTGCAGATTTGTTTCCTGCCTCTGTGTACGTGGACTCTGGTCCCATCCTTCTAACTAAAACTGGCTTGGACCTCTCATCAGGATGGGCAGATGCCCCAAAGGCAAACATGCTGCACGGAGTGGGGGACGGGACGGTGGGGGGCAGGGGACAGTTATCACTGACCTGTTTTGAATTTGTGTTCTTGATTTTGACCTCTGGAGAATTGTCCTTTCTTGTTTTTTGTAGTTGTATGCAAAAATAATATTAAAACACTTATATTTGCATTTAGGAGAAATTGAAAGAGATGTCTACTCATCTAGTTTGTTGGAAACAATAAGCTCTTGAATGTTTGCTCTGTGTAAGGCATGCTATTGACCCTCACCCTGGAAAACACAGCCATCCTTTCCACTAATGAAAATGGGATACACTCAATTATCCTTACTCCTCACCTAGATGGTCCACTGGCGGGCATTTTCAGGCAACTGAAATTCTTGGGGTCTCTTTGTTTTTCTCTATAATAAAATGGTATTGGACTAAATGATCTTTATGGATCCTTTCAGCCATACATTGTTTTGACTCCATGACCCTGAACCATTCCATTTTTATTTTTATTTTCAATTTTCATCCGTACAATGACTCAGCTGAAGTCACCGACCCAGTTACCATGCCTTACTATTCCAGGAAATTGTTCTCTCTCTCTGGCCAAACCGCATTTATTGCCTTAGTGTTTTGATCTTTTTCAGCTCCCACCCACAGGTGAGATCGCTCATATTCTGTGTTCCTCCCCCAGGTTGCTTCTCTCGGAGTCACGACCTTCACCTTATGTGCTCTGTGTATAGACCGCTTCCGTGCTGCTACGAATGTACAAATGTACTATGAGATGATCGAAAACTGTTCTTCCACAACTGCCAAACTTGCTGTCATATGGGTTGGTGCTCTCCTGTTGGCGCTTCCAGAAGTTGTTCTTCGCCAGCTGAGCAAGGAGGATTTGGGCTTCAGCGGCCGAGCTCCTGCGGAGCGCTGCGTGATAAAGATCTCTCCTGATTTGCCAGACACCATCTACGTTTTAGCCCTCACCTATGACAGTGCGAGGCTCTGGTGGTATTTTGGCTGTTACTTCTGTTTGCCCACACTTTTCACCATCACCTGCTCCTTAGTGACTGCAAGGAAAATCCGCAAAGCAGAGAAAACTTGTAGCCGAGGGAATAAGCGGCAGATTCAGCTAGAAAGCCAGATGAACTGCACAGTGGTGGCGTTGACCATTTTATATGGCTTTTGCATTATTCCTGAAAACATCTGCAACATTGTTACCGCCTACATGGCCACAGGGGTTTCCCAGCAGACAGTGGACCTTCTCAATATCATCAGCCAGTTCCTGTTGTTCTTTAAGTCCTGCGTCACGCCGGTCCTCCTGTTCTGTCTGTGCAAGCCCTTCAGTCGGGCCTTCATGGAATGCTGCTGCTGTTGCTGTGATGAGTGCATTCAGAAGTCATCAACAGCGACCAGCGATGACAATGACAATGAATACACCACAGAGCTGGAGCTCTCACCTTTTAGTACCATACGCCGTGAAATGTCCACTTTTGCTTCTGTCGGAACTCATTGCTGAAGGACGTTTGGTTTCGTTAGATTTTTGTTTGTTTGTTTGATTTTCATACCCTGTGAAAGTTTTTACTTTGTATTTTTCCTTACTGGGAAATAAATGCAAAAAAAGAGAGAGGAATATTAACTACTGTAGGACTGATTTTGCAAATTAATATTTGTGCTTTGAAAAAAATGTTTAGTTATTTAAGTATGAGGAAGCCAATAGTTTTAGATTCTTTTATCTGGTATGGTGCTAATATTTTATTTGAAAAAAGTTACAGCACCTTAATTAATTGCTAACTTTCTTTCTTTTCAAAATGTAATCACTGTATATTGATTATAGCCATGTGATTTTGTAGGTTATTTTATGTTTGAGTTGTGATTGAAAGTATATTGTATATAGTATCATGAGATGATTTGTAGATAAAAAACATTCACAAAGTAGCACCAAATAAATTATACTTTATTCTTTAATGTCATTGTCAATCTACTTTTAACCAATTTTCAATAAATCTTTTAATTGCCTTAAATACACAATTACTGGTCCTATGCACAATTTAAAATCGGCCTTATTGTTTTATAATTTTGTTTTCCTTTAAGGTAATCACTGTGTTATAAAGTTTTCCTAATAGTACTATTTTATATGTATGACTCATAAAACTATATTGTAAGTTAAAACTGTATTTTTAATATTCGGGTAGAGATGTAAGATTACCTCCAAATATTTATAAAATATGAATAGACAGCAGAGTAAGAAGAAACTATCTTATTATTTTTTAATTTACCTCTGAACTAGCATGTAGAGCTATAGGTTTTCCTATGAGGAGTAATGAGCAGAATCAAGGACTGAAAAACAATGCACTTGTCACCTGATTTCCCCTGAACACCGACCTGTGACGCACTGCGAATCTTGTGTAAAGCACTCTGAGTTCTAGTTTTCCTCCTTTTAAAAAATGAACTTCATTAAATCTGTGCAACTTCTTTAAGTAGAGTGAAAATACAGTAGTGGAATAATAAAATATTTATATATCTTGATTAGAACACTTGAATATTCAAATGCTACCTTTAAATTTATATTCCACAAACTTCTAGCAAAAAACAAACCCTCTCCGTTTGAATAATTTGAATTCCTTAAGGAGTTGAAGTTGTAGCAGCTGTGTAGGATGCCTGCCATGTGGGACACATGTCTAAATCAGATGGCAGAGACATTGACCTGGTGACCCCGTGTGGTTATAAGGTCCCCGTCTTCAGAAGAAGCCCATGGGGGAACATAATATTCCAGCTGGAAACCACCCTCTGTGTTTTCTGCTTGTCAATTTCTATACTATTTGGCATAACTGAGTAGCACTTCTTTCTTCCAGATTCTAACATCATGTTATTTAAATCATTACACTTTAGTGCTAGAAAAATAAAGATACTTAACCCACATGAATCCCAGATTATGACAGTGCCCGGGATATCTCCTCTTTCTCAGTCGGTACCCTTCAAAGGGATATCTTCCCTTTCTGTCTGTGTTGTAAGGGATTTGAAAGAGAATAAGAACAAGGCATCATTGTCTTCTTAGAGATCGCTGTAGTAAGTCTTTAGAAGATTTCTAAAGGACACCTGAACTAAGTTTTGGCTGCTGAGAAGATCAACAATTGTGATTCCCCAGTGTCTCTCATAGTATTTAGTCAATTTTATAAAAAAAAAAAGAAATATTGATGGAGCATATGGTATAGAAAAAGTTCTACACTATTACTGCAGTGTATAAAATAAAGTATAGAGCTTAGGGTCTGACATTACAAAACCAGGCAGGGGTGGGATGGCAAGGAAGGAATAAGACCAATACATTAACAACTCTGATATAAGGTGAGACTCATTAGAAAGGTGTGAAATTCTAGGAGAGTTTTGAGCACATCAATGTATAGGACATCGTGAAAGGCTTTAGGAAGTAACTGGACGGGAATGCCTTCAAAGGAGTTGTTGATGAAATGGACACTTCAGAAGGAAAGAGATAATTAAAGGAATAGGAGGAGGAATCATGAGGTGTGGTTGAAGAATAAATGAATGGTCCAATTTGGTGTCTATGCTATATGTGCTATGATGAAAATATGCATCGAGACCGTATTATAAAAAAGGTATGGCTTCACATCTCTGGCATTCTACATTAGCGTTCATGAGAGAGGCGCTGCCCTTCCTTCGCCCCATACCTCATACCATGTGTTCATTAGCATCAGGTGTAGCAACTTCCTCTCCCCTACATTCACACTGAACAGAAGAAGGTTTAGCGGCAATCTTGATTCCTCTGAGAAACATTTAAGATACTCATATTCAAGAACATTTTTTCCTCTAACTTTTCCTCCCCATTTTAAAAATAGATGGACTTCTTTTCAGTCTTGAAGCATTCTCCAAGTTAACAAGTTAAGGTTTCTTCCTGATATTTCGAATTCATCTTGCATTTTAAAGTTTTCTTCAATTCCTTTCTGTTGGATTGGCTTCCTATGTTCTTTTTCTAGGCATATATTCCAGTATACCTGATTATTGCTAACTTTTCTCATAAAGAAAAAAGGAAAAACATATTAAAAATTTCTATAATTTCACAATCATGTTTTATGAACGTTCCTTCCCTCTTTCTGGTAAGTAGAAAAATATATGTTATATTTTCTTTGTCCTGGTTTTTTAGCAAATGCAATCTAAGAGTATTTACTCAACTCCACTTCTTTTGCTTTGCTACTTAATGTCAGTCTTTGAAATTGAAATCACTCAACATAGGGTCTATATGGTAGACTGGAATTAAGTTACTTTAGAAGTCTAAGCAATCTCAAGTCTTCCAATATTACTCAAGTCTTTCTTTATACATACAGAGCTAATACTCTGATAAGTTAACTGGCTTACACAAAGTCACATAATTTGGCTCTGGATGAATATTGATTTAGAATAAGAATTCTAAGAACGGAAGATCTCCTTTCAGGGATAATAAATGATAACTCTTTCTTCTTGACCAGTGTACTCACAGCAATCTATAAAGTAATTCAGATAACACATAGTAGGTATTCAATAAATATTTGCCTAATGAAAAAATAAACAAATATTTAAACAGAAAGAACATGGAGGAAACATCACTTAGCAAAGTACAAATGAAAAGCTGGGACTATGAGTTAAGAAACCATGACAAAAGGAAAAGTAAGAAAGTATGGTTTTCACCCTGGCTGGTGTGGCTCAGTGGATTGAGTGCCATCCTGTGAACCAAAGGGTTGCCGGTTCGATTCCCAGTCAGGGCACATGCTTGGGTTGCAGGCGAGGTCCCCAGTAGGTGGCATGCAAGAGGCAACCACACATTGATGTTTCTCTCTCTCTCTTTCTTCCTCCCTTCCCCTCTCTCTAAAAATAAATAAATAAAATCTTTAAGAAAAAGAAAGTATGGTTTATGTTGTAATAGTGTTCAGACCATAAAATTAGCAGTCTAGCATTAATCAAATGATGTATACATCTATGGCCATATCTGTGGTATATGTTCTAGGCAAATTATAACATCTGGGTGCTACAGTTCAATCTTCACACTTTTCTGTCTCAAAGTTATCAAGTCCAGGTATCCTAAAGCCACTTTAGTACTTCTGCTCATTTTCTTCTTTCCCTCCTTCACTTCATTCTTGCACTTAAAACCTATAGGCCAGATTCTGTGCTAAATCCCAAGGACATAACAGTTTATGAATGGGATACAATTCAGTCCCTTTTGGAGTTCACAGTTAACAGCTGTTAAACATTATTTCCTCCATCAACTATCTAGCAAAAATGTGAGAAGTGCCGAGAAAGGAAAAGTGCTCTTGAGAATAGGTGATAAGGTAACCTGACCTAGTGGTAAAGTCAGAGCAAGCTTCCTTGAGGAAGTGCTAGGAAAAGATTAGAGGTGGCAGTGGATGAGCCAGGTAGAGGGAAGCACTGTACTGAGGCTCTGTGTTAAGACAGAACAGAGCAAGTGCTGAAGTCAGGAAGGCCAGGGCAGGCCGGCATGCAAAAAGCCAAGGTAAGCACGGAGTAGTGTAGTATGAGACCAGAATTTGAATGAAAAAAATTCCTGTTCATCTTCAATGGATTTCTGTTATGTGTATGAATAAATTCAAGTTATCAATGTTATACTGACCTTCTGTGATTCACAGGAGACCACTCATTGTTATTAGAAAACTGACTTCTTATATATTTAAATGTAACAGTCATAATTTTCAGTCTTGAATTTTCGTTCTATTTCACTGAATGTGCTTCTATACTTGTACCTCAAATATTGCGATCTGAAATGGGAAAACAATGCATTGATTGAAAAGATTGTTTTGATGTAAGTAGAAGATAATTATTTACTCTCATAATTATAAGATCTTTCAATTCCTAGAACTCTGGTGCTAAATCAATTTTCCATTGCATTCTGTAAATTTGTAGAGGATTAGATCTTTCAGTTTAAGTACTCAAAATTTGAAAATTGATCAAAAAATAGTATTGTTTAATCAGTCTTGAAGTGATCATTCTCTTTTACTAGTAATACTTTAATCAATCACATGGCTGTTAAATGACATTTATGTTTCCTATTAGTCCATTGTTGTCAATTCTACAAACTGGATTCAATATTTTTTCTTGCATTTTTGACAAATAAATAATTCATAAGTTATGCATTCTATGAAACCCATAGAAATCTGAACTGAATGCTTTGCTATAAGAAGAGGTATGTAATAGATTTGATTCATACATTTTATATAAACTAAATTTAAATATAACCATAGACATTTAAAATTTTTATATTTAATCATAATTTATTTTCTTAAGTTTTAAGAGAAAAGGTCTCTTCTAATTTTATTCCTCATATTTGTATTGATATTATATTTAGAAATTTAGGGTGACTAGGATTTTTTATCTCTAATCAGATGTTTTGAACTTGATAAAACCTGAAAGTTTGCCTCAGACAGAAATTGAAAATTTAAGGGAATAGTGTCTCTGGAGAGGAAGAAAGAGAACATTTGGAACATCTACATGAGATCGTGGTGGTTGTGAGGGAAGCTTTCAAAAGAGTTCGTAAAATGCCAATCTCATTTTTTTTATAGCCTCTAGTGAGTTTTATTTCTGAGGACCTTGTTTCTAATTCTGTTTATCCAGAAAGTGGGCTCGGATCACCCAGGCTTTTGAGGGAGTGGAGCCGTGAGCTAACAGGAAGCCTGTTGCTAATGAGCAAGTTATGCTGGAATGTACAATAATGCGCTTTAGTCCTTCTAAAAATGCACCCATGCTTTTGTTTAAAAATATGTTTTAAATATGTAGACATATTTCTATCACATTACATTTCAAGTTAAAAATCTAAGGAACTTGAAGAAAGTTCATATAGATGCATATGTCCTTCTGTGAGTTGCCAGTGTGTGAACAGGAAGAATACCCGGAATCTCGCTTCAGTCCCTGAAAGTCGTGTG